AACCATGTTCTCTATCGGATAAAATTTAGATCAGTGCTATTGACTATAGTGCATGGTTTATATAGCTAATTATAATATAATGTAGCTCATTATATATATTATGTTAATACTTTACATTATGAGTTAAATAACACAAGAATACTATCTTGTGAACAGTTTTCGTAACCCAATAATACTTAGCAAATATTATATTATCTTTATTGGTAACAGTTAAAAGTATCGTTCGTAAACTATTATTTCAATTATTGGAATGGTATAAGGACTTAAAAAATTAAAATAAGGAAATATATGATGAATGTACCTATAACGGTGTTTAATTGTCATAAAAAAAAATTATGACAATTTTTTTTTAATTTTCAAGTTGTTAAAAAACATGTACACGGGTGAAAAAGGGGTAATGGTAATAAAAAAAAGGGTTTAAAAAGGATAAATGGGTAAACAAGTATTAAACGGTTACGGTTAAATGGGTATGTGATTATGAGTATGGTTAACTGTTTATAAATGGTTATGGGTATAGATATAACCGTTTAGGCAATTACCCAATAGGTAAACAGTTATACGGATATGAGTATAAACGGTTATGAGTAAATAACCGCTGTTACCAGGGCAAAGATGCCAAAAGGATACAGAGAGAGCCTACAAGGAGTGAAACAACCAAATTAAAGCAAAAAACACCAAGTAGTGTAAGGGGATACAAGAAACTTTGACGTCGCATCTGATGCTAACAAAACGTCACCCCTCACACTACCAAGAAAAGACCTAAGGAAGGCAGGGAAGCCCATCATTACAAAAGACATGTACAAGTGGCCCAAAACAAATATTAGAGCCCATAACAGAAAACGCAAAATACAAGGAAACCTAGCAACTTCTTCAATCTTTTTGCATGCACCGCCTCCAGCACCCCAAGCACCAAAAAGGAGACTGAAGTCTCGACAGGTAAAGAAGAGACAGAAGCCTCGACATGAGATATGTAGAAGATGGTATTGTAGCACACTCTCGAAGCTAGCAACATGAGTCATCTTCAAGCGATCAAGGGATGAGTCAAACATGACTCTCAAACTATCCGACCCACCACCGCAGACATGAAATCCACAACTGTAGAAATGACTGAAAGGAGCACCAGCAGCAAACAGATGCAAAAAGACATCAAAAGCAATTAATGCAAAATTAAAAACAATAAAACCTTTACCCCCATTAACAAGAAGCAACCCAATCAAACCAAAAGCAAACCCAAAGCAAAAATCAAATCTTAAAGTGCAACTGAAATTCTAGATTGTTTACCCAAAAAAAAAATCCAGATCGGGCCTGAAACTTTGAGATATAAGTTTTGATTTAGGGAGAGGGAAGATGGTGGGAAAGAACATGGTTGAAAAGGACTGAGGTGTGGGTTGGTGAGGAAAATATGGAAGGGCTAGGTTGGAAGGAGAGGGCTGCAAAACAGGGAAAAGGTGTGGAAAAAAACAGAAAAACAATGAGAAATCCCAGAGCGCCGACTCTCAAAACGGCAATCGAAAGAAGAAACTGAAGAAAGGGAGGAAAACGAGAGAGAGGTTGAGAAAAACTGGTAAAATTCTCTCGCAAATGAGAGAGAACCCCTACAGATAGAGGGAAGAACTCCCACGCCCAACATAAAGTTTTTCCTACGTGAGTTTTTCCTTTCGGAGCATTTCGCTAGGCATTTCGCTCATCAGGTGCACTTGACTTAATCATGGCCTCGTTCTCTCAGCCCGAAGTCGACTCGGTCCCGACCACCGGGTCAACTCGCCCGTTCGACGATGACGGTTACCTGGGCTACGACCCTCGACTCTCCTCCCAGCGATTCGACTCAGAGTCGCTCAAGAACTCCGCCACCGATTCCCGACTCTTCCACGGCTCCGCCGCAGACGACGCTTTCGCCACTCAGCCGGCGTCGGAGGCCTTCTCTCCTCCATGGATCTACGCCGAATCGAACGGCTAGGGCTTTGATGGAGGGTTTGGTGGGTCCGACGATCCGATTTTGCCGGGTCCGTTGAAGATGCTGCCTGAGGGGGGCTTCGCTCTCGGAGAATGGAGGAGGTAGGGTCTTGAATTCTAATTGTTTTCGATTGAACTGATAGTTCTGTATATCAATTAAATTTTGACTCTTTTGTGCAATTTAGTTGAAACGGCTACCAAGTTGAATATTAGAGTGCGCCATGAACAAAACTACAAAATAATAAGAATATTATTAAACAAAGGAGAATGCTAAAATGACTACAGAATTCCAAAAGACTACATTGTGAATGACTTGTTCTCTAATGAATAACAAAGCACCCTATTTATAATAACCTAACCCTAATCTCTAACAAAACCTAATTCTAACGGGCTAAGCCCAGAAAACCAAATATTCAAATAAACCAAAATACTAATATTTTCTAACAATTGGTTTTGATTTGGCTTGATCTTTCTGTTGCTGAGAAATTGAGTGGAAGTTGTTGTTTTGATTTCAGTAATTTTCAAGAATTGCATGCGTGGTGATCAGTGATCATCTTTCTGATATCAAATCTTTATAAATTTTCTGATATCAAATGTTCGAATAAGATTGTGGAGCTGAATTCGAATCGAAAAAAAGATTGGTGATTGTTGTCAAATTGTAGTTATTGACTATAAGTGATTTTGTGTTTGCATTGAAGGTGGTGGGAGAAATAAATGGTTGAATTCTGTGAGGTTGTAAGGGAGTTATAATGATCCGAGCTTTTGTGACATTCAGGCAAAGCTATCCGAATAAAGTTGTGCAGGTTCAGATCATCCTTGAACATCTCATCTGTAGGCCTCTTTCCAGTAAGCATCTCCAACAGCAGGATTCTGTAGCTATACACATCTCCATATGTTGAAACCTCGTTTCCCATGCCATACTCTAGATTTTTTTTTTCCCGGACAGAAACATATGGATCATACTGTTAAAAACTGAAATAAATGAAAAATTATGTTCTTGTACATGTCAAAGAGAGGTTGAAGCAACAATGCATCTTACCTGGGGCGATATAGCCTATGGAGCCATTTATGACATTGGCAGTGCTTCTGTGTGAAGGAAGTGAACACGAAGCATCCAGGAGGTACCTTGCTAAACCAAAATCCGGGAGGTACCATTTAAGACTGATTGCTGGCCACATGATCTGCATTAACAACCAGGGTTGTAGTTTTGGAAAGAATCTGGAGAGAGAGAATCGGAGAGAATTTGGATCCGTGAAATGGTATAGACCTTTGGGTTTGGCACATAACTCTTCTAGTGTTTGTTGCTGAGGAAAATGTTACATGTTAGTTGAACTGAGCCCTTTTCGTTGGAAAGGTACACGTAATGCAAATCGTAGCTTTTGGCTGAACCCTATTTCTGTCCCCTACCACTAATAATGCAAAACATGTCCAATTCAATTCAACGATTAGCTTTCCTCCTAGCGCGGCTGATGTTGGTTTCGGGTTGCCCAACAATTACTTGACTTCTTCACACCATGCCTGAAGCGCATAAAGAAATTATGCAGCAAACTGCCAAGAATAAGACCATAAATTATGCTCATTCATACTATGAAGAATATTATGTTCATCTTTTATTTTGACGCTTACAATATTGTTCATGTCTGCAATTCTGCAAGTGTAACTCAAGAGTCTAGAAAGCTTATGAAATAGGCCTGAATCCTTGACTCAGTACTCGAACAAATTCAGTTGGACGCGTGCTGCTTAGGCCGTGATCATATGAATTCTAGGAATCTAGGTTCCGGTTCGTACATCCCTTACTAGGCATAGTCCTTCAACATGTCCAAATCCATCTGCTCTCCCGGCAAATCTGCAGAACAAGCAAATCTTTGCCTTTCATCATCTTGGACCTTATTCCTATTGTTTGCGGTATTACTATTGTTGGAAAATAAAAAAGAAAGTATTTTAGGATTTGATTTAATTAGTGATTTTATATGATTTAATTACGGTTTTGATATGATTTGATTTGGTCTAGGTTTCCTTGTCTTGTTAAGAAAGGATTGTTGAGATTTATTTCTTTTATTGCTCCTATGTAATCTTATAAATACCTCCTTATGAAGAAGAATAAAGTATCGAAGTTGTTATTTAAAAATTGTGAGATTGTAGAGAATTTTTATACTTGTCATAAACCCTTTAGGTTCAACTACTATGTGTGCGCTCAAGCAAAGGCTATCCGAACGACCTTGTGCAGGTTCAGACCATCTTTGAACATTTCATCTGTAGGCCGCTTTCCAGTAAGCATCTCCAACAAGAAGATTCCCTAACTATGCATATATACGCATGCAATAATTATAGCTCTTGATATTAAGGGCGTTTGGTAATTAAGTTGGAGAGATTTTTCAGTGTGATCAGCACACGAGGTGGTACACCACGTGTCACTATACAAATGATGGGATATGTGTGTTAAAAAGTTAATAACTTAAAAAATAAAAAAATTTACAACTTACATAAAAACAAGTGGTGTACCATACGTGTTTCCGTCACAATGAAAAATTCTCATTAAGTTGACGCAAAGACTCAAAAAAAACATGAATGATTTTTACCGTCCATGATTTCAAGAGAGACTCTTATAGGAATGAGTGACGTTACCTGACATTTATGAAATTATTTAACTTGTGACGTACAAGTATTTATTGGACTGGTGATGCCACTAAACTATGTATTTGGTTGCAACTTGCAAGACAAAATTTATGTATAATGAAAATTGCATTATCTAAAGATACAACTGATTATTGTTAACATTAAATAATTTGAAAGAAACAACTGAATACTTTATAGAAGAATGTGTTGGAGCAATTTAAGAAAATACGAAAATAATATCAATTCTAGCGATAATAAGAATCAAGAAGTCACAATCAAATTTAATTTGATATAAAAACTCAAAACTAGCTGATTTACTGTTCATAAGAACAAATTTCTTCCCGTTTTGCCCCTGTTAAATTTGATTTATTACTTCTCTGCCACTACCTGAGAAAATATATATACGCTTTAATTTTTGTTCATTTCTCTTCTCTCTTCCCCCTCTCGCTCCTCACCGACTCCGACTTACCGTTCGAACGAGAAACCCAAAAATCGACGTTTTCTGACGGCTGCCACTGCAACCACAACAATTCGGCTCAAGAGAGTGCTAACAACAACAACATTCGAGCTTTGCGTGCTCGAATCTACCCTCGACCGAAGAGTTCCATAAGCCCAGCTTGAGGTGTTTATTTTGCCCGCCAATTTCAGGCCTTTCCGACCTTTTTTGGGTCGGAGAGGGTAATATTTTTCCTCTACACCCTCGAATTATCTTAGATTGTGAGCTAATCGGAGTCTGCAAATTTTTCCACGGCACCACCATTCCATCCGCGACGTTTTCCAAAACCCGCTTGACCGAAGGGAAGCAATTTATCGTACGCTAGATCCCAAAAATTTCTTTACAAATATCCCCTTTCACAATTCTTTTCTTGATTTTTGCATACCCCTTTCTCAATTGAACCGAACCATAGCATTAGAAAAAAAATGTAATCATTAGGGTTTTTTTTTTTTTTTTTGGTAATTTTTCCGATTTTGGAAATTTGATGGTGTTTGTGTACCGTTGCAGGTGATTGCCAAAGAATCTCTCTTCTGACTGCACAGGTATGAAAACAATAGCCCTGACATCACTGATATAAATCCTTGCTGATTTGTCATCATGGTTAAGATTATTGTTTCAATCGGGTTGTGTTTTTGTCATAAGGAGGATTTCCGCAGGGTGGAATTGAATGTTAGGTGCAAAACTATTTTTCATTAGATAAGGAATGAGCAATGTTGAATGCTATTGGTTCTCATATGCTGCCTTGACATGAAAACATAAATATTGACGAGAATTGTGCATCTATTGCATAAAATCATTTATTTTCATCCTATTTTGCGTGTTTAGGGAACTTGAATGGTCAGAATATACCATCCTATGCATTGGCGTTGAAACGTACGCATGGGTCCCTAATTCGCCGCCGGTGGACGTTAGCCTTTTCTCCTCCCCCTTCAGTACTCATGTGAGTCTGTGACTCAATTCTAACACTTAATCTTCTATTTGGAAATGCCTCTGTTTTATTACTTGCTGAAAACGCCTCTGTCAAAAATTTTGAAGGCCTTTTCTTTGTTTCATCTTATCTTCCTCCTTTTCTTTGTCCATTTATGCCTATGTCAACTCTTTCCAATTTAAATGCACTCATTTAGTCACTCACATTGTATCTGATAGAGCAGATGAAAAAAGAGGAAATGGGGATTATATATGTAAGCTCTCTGTCTCAGCTTTGCTTATATGTCCCCCATTTGATTTCTTATACGTCAATATTAGATGTGAATATTAGAACTGCCAATCCAAATTCACCTATTTGCTCGTCATGAGACTAATTAGAATTAGCTATCTTACGGATGTGTTGATTAAAAAAAGTCTAGCCAATTTTTAGCATGTTTAAGTAGTAGTAATTAAACTCAAAAGATGCTCGAGTGCTTGAATTTCTAACAATGTTCCATTAGAGGATCAAGCATTGTAACTTAATGCTGCCTCATTGGGTTGTCAGCTTTTGTATGGATGCAATTAGTAGAAATTACGTTTTCATTGCTACGAACAGTTTTGTATTCATTGATGTCTGGAAAGATTTCGGGAAAACAGGATGAATAGTGTAAGAATGTAGGTTGGTGTATGTATAAATTAGCTCTCCCAATTTTCTTCTTTAATTTATTTTTCTGTTTATTTTGTTTTCATTGCTTAGCTTAATTATAAGTTAGGTGTGGTTGAAAATTACAAGTTTTCTTCATGCATGTGTTTTTCTTTCTTCCTAGCTATCTATCTGTTGTCTGAGGTTTCAATTACATTCACACGATATTTTAACGGACTGTGCCAGAAGAACATCTTTTTGGCAACGATGAAGAAAGAAGAGTGAAGTCCCGAGGAACGATCTGAAAGTTGGGACATGAAAAGCAAAAATATTTTGGTGTGTATTATATCTATATGAACAGCTTAGTCTCCAACTTTTTTTGCTATGTAATGTGTTCTACAAACACCTATCTTTTATTTCTTAATGAACATAAGGATGTAAATAGAGTTTGATATGGATGTAAATGGATTTTAACATATTCTACACGTTTACAATTAAAAATCTACGGCATCGCGCAGGTTCAATTGCTAGTATATACTACAATACAAGTGTGTAAACAATCAATGTAAACAACAAAGAAAGTAAGAAAGACTGACAAATTTGAAGACTGGACAAACACGAACTTAGTAACGCAAAATATTAAACAGACAGAACACTAAACTTAAATAGACATCCAAGCAAGCGCAAAGATGATCTTACAAAGATCATTCACAAATCATACAATAAAAGCAACTGCAAAAATATTAAAACCGACAGACCACTCCACGCAAACTACTGTCCAAGTTTCATGGCAGTTGAAATAATGATGACAGGCTATTATTTCTCACTACATAGGCCTTGATCAGAGAAGCTCACTTGGCATCTGATTCCAGTTAGCATGTCCCTTATTAGACTCAATTCAGTGACCACATTGCTCATGTCTTTTCGCTCCCTCAGCATCGCTACAGAACAAGCCACTCCCACTCTTGCAATGGAAGTCAAGCACCCCACAACCCTTTTTCTTTGATCATTTGGGGTATGATTCCCCCTGTTACTTCTGGGATTAGTACTGCTTTTGCTTTCTTCTATTTGAACAAGTAGTGGATCACATATTTCTTCCACATGTCCTGGTAGAGCCATCGAAACAAAACTGTGCAAGTTCATACCATCTTTAAACATCTCATATGTTGGCCTCTTGCCAATTAACATCTCCAACAACAGTATTCCATAGCTATACATGTCACCATATGTTGCCACCTCGCTTCCCATTCCATACTCTTTTAAGTTATATGCACAAAAACATAGCTTTGTTCTTATGTGTGTCTTGAAAAAACTCATGCTATATATATATATATATATATATATGTATGTATACACGTATGTATGTATGTTTATGTATGTAAAAGAAAATTTACCTGGGGGAGTATAGCCCATGGAGCCTTTTATGACACTGGAACTGCTTTCGTGCAAAGGAGATGGGCAAGAAGCATCTCGGAAGTACCTTGCTAAACCGAAATCACCTACACAAGCAGTCATGTCACTGTCTAACAAAATGTTGCTGGGCTTTATATCACAATGAACTATTGGCATGTGGAAGCGGTTGTGCAAATAATCCAGAGCACACGCTACATCGATGGCAATGTTAACTCTTTGAGTGAGGTTCAGGTTCTTTGGCAGATTGGCTGGCCTATCTACTCCTTGAGTTGATATGTGCAGCCACTCATCTAGGCTTCCATTCACCATGAACTCATACACTAGGGCTTTGAAATCGTTTCCTTGAAAATCAATGCTTGAACAAGCAGTCATTAGCTTGACAAGATTTCGATGCCTAATGCTTTTCAAGGCTTCACATTCAGTTATGAAACTTTTAGAAGCTCTTGAAGTTCGAAGATTTAGTACTTTCACCGCAACATTTATTTCTTCATGCTGATTGAGAACTCCCTTGTACACGGACCCAAAACTTCCAGCACCAATCAGATTCGAAGCAGAGAACCCATCAGTTGCTTTGAAGAGATCTCCATAGGATAGTTTCAAGAGTGAAACCCCCAATGATGATCCTGAAGTTGACTTAAGCGCTCTAGCCTTTCTTGATCGATAAAGAAGCGCGAGTAACAACACCAAGACCAAGCCGACAACCCCACAGGAAACTGAGATAATTAAGTTCAGCTTAGGAGATAACCCGCGCTTAGATTGCTTGGAGATGCATTTAAGCAATCTTAAGTGAGGTATACCTCCACAAAGCCGTGTGTTTCCCACAATAGATACCGCACTTGCATTCTTAAAAACTCCTTGGATTGGTACTGCACCTTCAAAATCGTTAAATGAAAGGTTCAAATTATGCAAGAAGGGGAAACTCCCCAAGTAGTTGGGAATTATGCCAGACAATTTGTTGCGAGAGAGGTCGAAATCTTCAATTCCTCCCAAAGAGCTCAAGGATTTAGGAATTATCCCATGCAATAAATTTTCTCTCAGAGACAGAGTCGTCAAACTTGTGCAACTCCCTAAGCTTTGTGGAATCTCACCAGATAACTTGTTTTCAGAAACATCCAAGAAAACAAGATGCGGCAAGTTACCTACTTCCATGGGAATGGATTCAGTAAGTTGGTTTCCAGATAGATCCAAGTGAACAAGTTGGTTTCCAGGTAGATCCAAGTGAACATGTAAATTGATGACTTGTTTTGGAATTGGACCGCTAAGATTGTTGTGGGAAAGATCCAATTCTAACATAAACCTGCAGTCTCCGAGACTTTGTGGTATGCTTCCATTTAACTTGTTTGAGCTGAGATACAAGTTGCTTAATGAAGAAAGATTTCCTAGAGATGATGGAACATTACCTGACAATTCATTCGAATCTAGATATAGGTCATAAAGCTTATTCAGTTTACCTATTGAACTCGGTATAGTGCCTGCCAATAAATTTGCATGAAAGTTTAGTATCTCCAAGTTGATAAGATTTCCAACTCCGATGGGAATGCTTCCGTGTATCTGATTCTCATAGAAAAATATTTTCCTGAGCTTTGTTGAGAGATTACTGACAGATTCAGGCATCACTCCTCCAAAACTATTGGCACTGATATCTAAAACTTCTAAATTGGTGCAATTAACTAGAGAAGAGATGAAATCCAAGTCACCTTCCTCATTATTTCCAAGATTGTTATCATTAGGTCCAAACAAATACAAATTTGACAGGCGTGCCAGACTAGGCACTTTCCCAGTAAACTTATTGGAAGAGATAGAAAATACTGAAAGGTTTGAGGCATTGGAGATTGAAGCTGGTACTGGTCCAGTGAATTGATTGGCATAGAAAACAAAGGTTTCGAGGTTTGGAAATATAGTGTGGCCCAAGCCAGGAGGAAGAGTTCCATGAAGGTTGTTTTGAGCCATATAAATGAATTTAATTGACGAGAGGTTGTATATGGAGGGAGGAACGGTACCATTCAAATAATTGACAGCCAATAAGAAAGCCATTAAGCTTTTCAACTGGCCAAGGCTATTTGGAATACCTCCATGCAGATTATTTTCAATCACAGATAACATCCAAAGACAAGAAAGATTCCCAAAAGAAGGTGGGATTTTCCCAGAAAAATTGTTCTTGCCTAAATCAAGAAACTGAAGCTTGGACAATGAGGCAATTTCAGTTGGAAGTTCGCCACTAAGAGTGTTGCCTAATAAGCCAAGGTATTGGAGGTTAGAGCAACTTGATATGTTGAATGGAATATGACCACTGAAGGAGTTGTTTTCAAGGCCTAGTCTTTGCAAGTGGAACAAACGACCAATTTCTGGAGGGATGGTGTGGCTGAAGCTATTGTTATGGAGGTATAAAGCCCGCAGAAAGCTCAAGTTTCCAATGTGGGGAGATAGGTGGCCTGCCATCCCGCTTGATCAGAGGTCGAACACTGTAACTCTCTGGTGTCTGCCGCCACAAGTGATGCCTGGCCAACGACAGAAGTGGAGGGATTCATTCCAAGAGCCAAGGATGCCTAGGGTATCAGTCACGATTTCAGCTTTGAAGGCAAGCAAGGAAAGCCTATCCACCTCATTTCCCGCTAAACGGGAGGAGGAGGCAGAGGTAAAAAGAAAGAGAAGAAAGAGTGGTTGCATGAAAATAAACCAAATGCTAATATGAATACTTGAGAACTCCATTTTAGCTAGGCTGCAAAATGAAGCTCTGGATATTTATGTAACTGTTAGTTGACGCAAAGAATGGAGTCAATTTCAGGGTCCGAATTGGGTTGCACAGCTGGTTTCTGGAGGAAAATTGGATCACAGCCTTGTTAGATTAAGACTAGGGAATTAATAGACATCAACTGTTAGATTAAGACTAGTGTTGAAAATAATTGTGGGTAATGAATGCCCACGTAGAAACTGAAAACATTGGGTAGATTTTCAATGCCCATAAAAATCAATATTGACTTGGGAGATGAAGGAAGATCATATTGTCAAAGATGTGTGCTTGGAGTTGTTGGGTTTTTGGCTCAAAATTAGGATGATGCAATAAATTAGGTTTGTGTTACCTATTTGGTTTTGGTGTCCTAATTGGGTTTGGTTTTGACTTCTTAGTTAGTTTCCTTGGTGGAGAGATTTTGTTAATTACCTATTTGATTAGGATTTGGATTTATTTCCTATTAGGATTCTTATTGTAACCTAAGTCCTATGCACTATAAATAGGACCTTAGGGTTATTGTATTTAGTGTGCCTCGTCATGATTTAGAGAGCTTTTCTCTATTTTGGTTTTGGGTGGAGTCACGAGTGTGTGGCAAATTCGTGGCTCATTCGTGTGGCAATTTGGTGAGAATCAATTTGAGAGTTTGTGAGTTAGAGAGCAATTTTTCTCCGTTAGTTTTGGGTTCTCTACTCGTTTGGTTTAGGGTTTGTAATTTGTGGGATTTGGGTTGTGAGAGTTTAAACACTCTTTTGTAATCTCCATTTGTTTAGTGAAATTCCTCGCCGTGCTTTGCTCGTGGACGTAAGCTTTACGCCGAACCACGTAAATCTCGTATTAGTTTGAGATTGTTTGTTTTAGCTTTCACCTACGACGTTGATATTTGGTACTTTGTTATAATTCGCTTCCGTTTGCGCATAAAAGTACAACAGGAGTTGTTCTATAAATAGAGCACTCCGTAATGCTTTCAACATACAGATCAGAACAAAAGGATCAATAATATCATTCATTCCTCCATCTTTTATTTGTCATTCACTTGAGCTATAGTTTTAGTGTGATATTTTACATCTGCTTCGCACCTATCTAAAAGGTTATCCCTCTAACTTTTACATATTTATAATACGTTATCAGCACGAGTCTCTAAATATAACTATTACTCATTCCTCTTCGCCGAAAGAAATCATTTCTCTTCGCCGAAAGAAAAAATGTTTCCTCTAAGGTTTTTACTGTTCATCTTCTTCCCCTGCCTCAACTGCGCGGTATACCCTCGCGACGTACTGTTTGCTACATGCCTGCTTCTAGTTCTCCAACTAGTGGTTACATACATCTATGATTTCTTGTTTGGTTTAG